CTCTATTCACCCTTCAACACACTGACGGATGTGGCCTGCTACCCAGATCGGTTCTATTGGTTTTCTCCATCCCAATGCGATCTAAGTCTCAGCTCCGTCGAATTCAAGCCTCCAGGCTGCGTGCTGAAGAGCTGACACACCCTTTTTGTAACCAACATGGAACAGTGGATGCGAGAGCGTTTTGAGAAAGCGTTTTTAAGGGAATTGTTGTACATCATTGGGGCTCACAAATTAGATCTTTTTACTTCGATCTGGTACCGGTTTCGCTGATAGCTGACGTGAAAATGATAAGTAAACGTGGAAACCCTCCATAATCTTGTCACACGACCTTCCGTAGTCGTGTCTTATGATGCTATAATATGCATGGTTGCATGCCAATACCAGAAGTAGTATACAGAGACCACAACGCTTGTTTGATCTTATTGTCGAGCACAAGAGTTTCTCTGATTAGCCGGAAGCAAATCGACTCGTTTCTTAGTGCTTTAGGGGTCTGAGTGGGCGGCGCGGTTTCGCAGTGGGCGTGGCGCGGTCAGAGAACGTGCAACGGCGATTGGAGGGTTTGAGAGTAAGAGGGCGGGAAGATGGTAGTTCACTACAAATATGAAAAAGGAGCGCGATCAAATACACAAATGCATTGGCAGTTTTCTATTTAGTTGTTTGCAACTGATTTTTTTTTCGGTAAAGGGCAGGACTGAACACTTTATATTTGAATCAAGACTAGCGATATTCGATCAATAACATGTTTTCTTTGGGAATTTGGGAGAAGTTAGCCGATAGGTGCTAGAAGGAGCTCTTTCGGTCCGAGCACTTCTAAGATTAACTGAGACGTATCTGCTACCTTGCCTGGTTCGATTTCGAGCGGCATTCGAGCCATTCAACAATCTGTGAACGCCTTTTAGTCTCCAGACTTGAAGTCGTGTGTAAAACGGCGATAGCGGGCTTTTTTAATAACTATTCGTTGTTTCTGTCAAGCGGTTTTCTCGATTGCGGTGAAATGCCCTTGGAAACCAGTCGCGGCTGTCATCGGAAAGGCCGGGCCTTCTCGATGAAAGTCAAAGGTGAGAAACGCCGGTGGCGGGTTTTGCAAGCAAGGCATTCTTGCTTGACGGGTACCAGCATCATAGCGTTTCAAAAAAGGGTTTTCCTGAAGAAGTGTCGTGCACTATTAAATGTTTACAGGATTGGAATACACAAGGGAAGCTAATTTATTTTGTCTTGAATTGGTACAGGTTTCGCCATTAGATGGACAAGTGTAAACATTCCAAAAAGTTGCCGTGGATGATGACAAAAGGGATAATTTCTTGGAAAAGTATCAAGGGATCATAGTACCAATACATGTAGTGGAAAGCAAATAGTAGGCATCGCAAGGCATACTGCGCAACCCTACAAGATAGGAGAGGGACCTTATCCGGGGGGGGGAGGCACGTGGCAGAATAGTTCCTTTCTCCTCCAGTGATCCAAATTTCTGCAGGGATAAGGTGACATGGTCAAAAGGCTTGAATGGCTTGGAGCGGATCAGTCGAGGGCTAGAAGAGACCAAATTTTGCAAGCTTCCATAGTTATGAAGGGGACGTGGTCCCGTGATCTCCCATTGAACATAATATCAAAGGACAAGCCCAGAGTTTGCTTCCGTACTCTAATCGCAAGCGGACAGTCGGTGGATTGTCATCAATACCGTTGTAGGGTACTATTGAAGGTGGATGGAATTTCAGGAGAAAGCCACCCACACAGTTTTTGGATTACCATACCCACCTTATCATCATGTCTCAACAAAGAGAGGCACAAAGATTTTCTGAGCGGAGTTTGTAGGAGGGCTTAAACCCTCTCCTCTTCTCTTTTTTACACAGAGGAAATGATATTATGGCAAAAATCTCTCAAAGGACACCTACATTACAGCATAGAAGCGTTCCCAGGGTACTTTTCACT